TGTCAGTTGCAGAAATAGTCACGTATATATATATATATATATATACCCTTAAAAGACTCCATTGATCCAATTAAATTCTTGCTTATCTAACACGTCCAACTGCAAATTTTTGTATAAATAAACTAAAGCAATTGTTTCAGATTCAAACCGAAACGTTAACAGTAATAGATAAAGAGTAGGTTGGAGTGATGACGTTAAAAACGAGGGAGTAATAATTAACATAAATAATAATCTTATGCTGGAGCAGATGGCCAAAGTATCGTTCTGTTAAAGCCATAGAAGTGTATATATATATATATATATATATATATAGCAGGTAACATAGCAGAAAGTTGATTCCAGGAGAAAATCAGTTATTTTTTGGGAGATGTTAAAAATTAAAAATTCATGTTTTATTCCAGTTGACTTTTTAGTCAAAACAAGGGTCTTGGCAATTCTAAATGATGGAACAAATTTACATAAAGAGGTTAGTTTTATTCATGTCAGTTTTAATTTTGGTTGGTATTATAGCCTTCTTGATGAAAAAGGAAGGATATGAATGCCAAAAGCAATGGATTGTTACAATACAAATTATGTGTCAAGCCATGCACTTCTCAAATATCTTAAATATACATGATTTAAGTACTGGATATAAATTTTCAAAATCAAATTTTAAATACTTGAAAATTGTATTTTCTAAAATAAAAAAAGTAAGAAAAACTAAAGTAAAAAAGAAACATTACTACAAGATTCAGAAAAATTCAACTCTAAATTTTATCATTCAATATGTTTTCAATATGAATTCAATAAATTTATATAGCAAATAAATTATTTAATTGAAACCAAAGCCAAATGAAAATAAAGGAATTAAGTTCCACTTTTCCAATAATTTATATTAATTTACAACTATATTGGATAATCTATGACTACATCCAGACACACCCCTCTGTGATGGAAAACAGTCTACTGCTGATACAACAGAAACTAATAATTCAAAAAAGTGTCTGTAATATGAATATATATGATTTCAATTTGATGCAAACACTTAGTTTTACAAGCAAAAGGAGTAGAGATTAAGTGAGTATTGATTGAGTAAAATATGTATTTGAAAAAAAAAATGAAATTGTATAATACAAGTAATAATGAAAGCATATTATTTTAAAATTTTATATTTGTATTTTTTTAATTATGATTACTAGAAGTTGTTAATGTGATAAATTTTTTCCTTTCAGATTTTCATATCCAGTGAATAATGAAAACATCAGTGTGATAATTTTAATTGTTGAAATATTTCATTCAGTATGATAGATCATAGATAAGTGAATTTTTGTGCAGGAAATGCACAGAATTTTTCTTTTACACTTTTATCCCTCAGTGGGAATTATTTTTACTTAATACCCATATCTAAAGTAAAATTTTTAATTATAAACATTATATTCAGCCTATTTTTATATTTATTTGTAGCTTATCACTTCTTAGTTTTGCCCAATAATAATTTATAAAAAAATTTTGTAAATTTTTCTATGAAAATATATTCGCATTGTGTTAATCATGGCTACTGAAGAACCTCAGCAACAAGTACCAGAGAGTCGTCCTGTAACTCAATTAGAATTTCATCAAGCAATGCAAGATTTTAAGACTATGTTTCCAGAAATGGATGAAGATGTAATTGAAGTAGTTTTACGAGCTAATAATGGTGCTGTTGATTCTACCATTGATCAGTTGCTTGCAATGAGCACTGATAATGAAAATGAACGTTTAAGAGCAGAACTTGATGCTACTGAAAACGATGAGTTGCCACCATGCTATTCACCTGCAACCCCACCACCGTCCTATCACCAAGCAGTGCCATATGTTCAAAGTCCTGCTCATTCCCCAGCACCTACTATAATAAATTCTTCTCCTGAAATAAGACACACTATCCCACAATCCCCACATCAGTTAATAGACATACCTCAGAGAGCTAGACAAACTAATGAATTGCCGTCTGTTGCTGCCCATGTAAGACAAAATTCTTCTAATACTGCATCTTCAGAAAATAATTTACAATCTGAAGATACATCTGTAAAAACTCCATGCAGTACGGGGACAAATAATATTCCTCTTCGCACTGTAAAAAGTTGGCTACCACCACTTCTTGGTGCCCTTCCAGATACATTTCTCAGGCTAGAAGAAACAGACCGAGAACCTAATAGGACACTACAATCTCGTTTAGAGGTAATTTAAATAATTAAAAAAATAATTTTAGATAATAGGTGATTTAATTTATTTACTATTAATAACATAAACTGATATGCTAATTTAAAATGTATATTTTACTAAAAGTAGTTTATAAACAATATATTTATTAAATCTATAAATTTTTCATACTATGTATGATTTACACTAAAAATGTTCAAATGGATATTTTCAAATTTTATTGAAACTATTATTTAATCATTGTAATGTATATGTCATTATTATTGTATTGGAAATAATCATTTTTAATAATAAGAATATGAACTGGTAATTGATTTGAATGAATATAAAGTTTGATTTAGACAAGAAATTATCTTTGGCTATACAATTTCGGCGTGAGTTTTATTTATTTATCTATTTCTATCTTTGGTTTTTAAAAGCTATACATAAGTAAATTGCATTTATACTTAGTGTTTTATTTCAATCAATATTAAGATATATAGTATTTTCATAAATATTTGTAAAATTTTATTAACTTGTTGACTAATTAACAATTTTATTTGTCATTGGAATATTTAAAGAAAATTTAAAATTATCTCTCAAATAGTAGATTAAAAAAATTTCTTTGAAACAGCTTTTTATACTTTTAAAAATACTATACAATATAAAATTTTAATGCTATGTTTTTAGAATATAAATTATTAATAATGTATAAGCCAAGTCTGACATATAGTAAAGAACAAACAATACTGCCAGATTATAATCAGATTACAATGTGGCTAATTAATTATAAAGATATTATGCAATTTAAATTAAAGATATCAGCAAAGTTAATACATATAAAACATTTGCACATAAGAATAAAAGCTCTGCTCAAGGAATAAGGTGTGAATTTTATTAAATTAAAGATAGGTACTTAAGCTGCCATCTTGTGTTAAATTTAATAATTAGAAATAAATTAGTTAATTTAGAATAATTTGGAAGAAAAGATCAATTAGATATTACTGTGCACATGCATTTACAATTGAGTAATATGAATATATATGTTATTTAAGTTATTTAATTCTGTATTTATTAAGTTTAATTTTATTACATTATTTAATTAACAAGTGTTATTTTCACTTGTCAATAAAATGAGCACTCTTACAATTATATTAATTTTTTATTACATTATTATACAGTGGTGCCTTGTATCAAGTACTTAATCCATTCCAAGTGCATGTCTGTTAAGTGAAAAGTCTGTTATACGAAATGCATTTTCCCATAGAAATACGTGTTAAAACATACAGTTCGTTCCGCAGCATAAAATAACCGTACTGTACCATAAAAAAATGAAAATGGAGCAGTCACCAATTATGCCAGGTAGTCAGATGTTGTGAGGAGGAGNTTTACTGATACCTTATATATGTACTTTATTTGACCCCTATTATATATATTTTATTTTATTTTTCTTCAATTTTCTTCTATGTATGCAATCACCAGCATGTGTTTAATGATTTTTTTTTTCAATTACATACCTCAAAGCCTGTTACCAGTGTGCAATTAACTTCAAAAACCAAAAATTATAATTTTGTGAACGTTTTCGAACCTTCAACAGTTCTTCTTCAGGCGGCAACAAATTTCCTTTAGAATGTGATTAAATATGAATATTATTTGAATACGTGTTAGCCAATGAATTTTTACTAGGCTTGCGCACTATATATGTTGCTATATATATAGAGACGAGAATTTATAGTTTTTCATCCACTAGTGCTTGCCTGCTAAAGACAGATTTAATTCCTCCTTGTGGTTGATGCAGGTGTTGCTTAGCTTGTATATGTATAAGGCTTCCAACCACTTTAGATGTTCAGTGTATGGTGTGCTGTGGATGATTCTCGCTTGGTTAAAGTTCGGAATCACTGGCGTAAATACCCAGAGCTGTGGTGGTCCTGGTGCATTGTACATCTGTGATGTGCTTTTTTACTCTAATGCCCAAGGAGCGCTTCCAAGGATGTAACTGAGCTCTCTATCTCATCTGTGATCTTTTATTGGGATGTTGTAGACTCCTGAGAGTCTATCACGGTTAAGAACATCCTTTCCACTGTGATTTTTTTTTTATATAAATTTTGTTTTTTAAATTTAATTTAATGAACATTCCATAACCTGAGATTGCTGTTAAAAACAGTTGAAAATGTTCATTCTTATAATAAATTTTGTTAATTTTAACTGGATTACAGTTGTTAGTTGCTGCTTTTACTGTAATCTCATCCAGTTTTGCAGTATCTTTAAATTTATTATCTGCCTTTAAGTTATCAGTTACACTATCACTGCTGATGTCTGGATAATCATTGTCATTGTTAAACATGGGTTCATTTTGTTAGGTTTAGAACTGAAATATTCCAGAATTTAAAATAAAATGACAAAAATACAACAGTACACAAAATAAACATTTCAACCTGTGGTTACAGAGTAACAGTTACTGATAGACACAACTAACATGACTATTCTTACATACCATGACAGATAGCTTAACTTTAAATATGGTTGGAATTGGCTGAATTGGTTTGCGTAAAACATGAGCAATACCAGTAAGTACTCACCAGTAATGCAAAACAAAACCTATTTAAAATGGTTCTTTAATTCTTTAGTTGGAAAGAAATAAAAACATTTAAATTATATATATATATATATATATATATGTTACAGTCAAAACCCATTTTTAGTTAGAACACGTTTTAACTAGTTGAAACTAGTTTATACTGAATTTCTTTGTTAAAACCCGTTTTGTCTAGTT